CTGGAGAGCTGAGTAAATCTGAGTACCATTTAGATTTGCAGTTTAGGGACTCCCCTTTTTAAAACTTTGTCTGCATACATTGCTAGGCTTGAAGCGACCCATCTCTTAAAGGGAGTGACCGGCTATGTAAGGTAGTTGAACTGAGTATGCAGTGTTATGGAAGGCTTCTTTCGGATTCATTTGAGACATATTAAACTTTTTAAAGATCTGTAAATCCTGAGTTTGAGCGCAAATGCGATGTTCAAAACTTCTTCTTTGGGGGTGGATATGTTTTCAGAATTAGTTTTTTTTTAATTATTGAATATCGACGACATAAAATGTAAAAAAGTTCTGCAATTAACTACAGACGTCATGTATAGGAACATGTTGAGAAAATAAAAATTAATCTTATCATCGAAAATAAGTAATCTTGTTCAATTGTTAGTTTCTATTATCTCATTATTCTGGTTCTCATTATTCACAAAGATTTTCGCCGATTTTCTAGAATTATTATTGAAAAGACGACATTTGAAGAATTTGAAGAAATCTGCGAATAAATTCAAAGAAAATTAGAAATTCAATATAATCATGAAAACGAAATAATCGATTTTAGCATTGATTTATTGACAAATTTCTTTTGAGAAATATGTTCCTAACCAGGTAATTAGATTACTGTATGATTTCTACTTTATTTTTCGTTGTCGTTATTTAATAGTTTAAAAATATAATTCTGAAAACGTATCCACCCCCAAAGTAGGAGTTTTGAATGTCGAATTTGCGCTCAAACTCAGGATTTACAGATCTTTAAAAAGTTTAATGTCTCAAATGAATCCGAAAGAAGTTTTCCACAACACTGCATACTCAGTTCAACTACTTACATAGCCGGTCACTCCTTTAATTAAACCCCAACTATATTTCTTCAGTCAGTGATCTGCAAGTTACTGCAGTACACACTGAAAGCTTGGTTGAGGGTGACCCATCTTTAGCTTTTAATTCTTGGTCTGTTATATAGTTTGTTTTTTTATGGATTTGGAAAAATGAAAATTTTTTTAATGCAAATATTTTAATTCTAACCAACCATAAACCTTCCCTGGGGGGATCATGTGAGGTCCCCCAAAAAATGTGGGCCCGATCCGATCGGTTCAACCGTTTTGACGGATCCAGACATCATTGAAAATGTTGCATGCTTTTTAAAAACTTTAAAGAGATGCAATTAGGGATTAGTCTAAAATTATTTGTATTTTCTCCAAATATGTCAATTGAATGTATTTAAACTTGATAAAAAATAGTTTAATTATTAGAAGTCAAAACATGTAAAAAACGTAAAAAAAATGTATTCTGTAATTATATTATTGTTTGTTTGTTAATTAAACTTTAAAATGTACTTACAAGCTCCCTAAAAATTACAGGTTAAAGTCTCATGGGTTTAATTGTAATAAATTGCGGCGTATAACATTATGATCATCTAAGAAGACATTATATATGATCACGTAAAGGTTCTTGGTTATCACTGTAGTATTTGCTTTGTAAGTCTGGGTCGAATCACTAATCCCTGCCCGTATCTATTTCTTTGTTTCCGTTTTATATTTCAGCGCCTATTTACTTTTTTATCATGTTCTTGTTTTAATGTTCTATGCTTTATTATAATCTTTTATATTTAAAACTTACTCAGGCTTTTTAGTCCTCGACTTAATTGCAAAAAAAAGTTTTTTTCCTTTATGATTTTTTTATGTCGAAATACATTGTATTATTATTAATATTATTATCGTTATTATAGAATTCATTTTTACTTGAATACATACAATTAACACAAATTCATTTGTGTTAACAACAATATTTTACTGCTTTTGCAACTGAACACTAATGCCGAGTGTACGAACTGTGTTAACATTGACCTCGAATAATTTACCTGTACGTACACTGTAACCTCGAAAAGAGTATAAATCAACCTCGAAAATCTTCAGAGTGCAACCTCCCTCATTATTTTGGATTGCGCAATTCTTTAAACATCAGTTATTTTAGATAATTTGTAAAAATACAGAGTTTTTAGTGTGCAACTTCAATTGATTGAAAAATTCTATGTTTTTACTCAGCTCCTCTTAGAAGAATTTAGAATTTCCAATATGTAACCAGATAACTTTGTTTTTCTTATTCGTATGCTGAAAATTAAAACAATAAGATCTACGCGGTAACAAAATCGTACCAGTATAGTGTTGTTCTATACTTCTCCATCTGTCTGGTGAGGGAGGGAAGCCCCGGACACCATGAGCCTCCGCTATGCAAACACAAGCCTCCCAGATTTGTTAGGCAGACCGAGCCTCCACTGTGCAGACCAAACCCGATGCTATGCAGACCGTGCCTCCGATATGCAGTAAACGAGCCTACACCATACAGCACAGCTTTTTCAAATCTTGGTTTTTATGTGTAATGAAAAATTTTAACAATTTTTTTTGACGTAGTGGCGTAAGAATTTTACTAAAGATTAGAATTATTTTTTGATTGTCATTATTAGAAACATATATGGACTCATAAAGTGGTTTATAAGATTTATGCTAAAACTTTAAACATTTCTTACGCAGAAAAGAAGATATTTGGAGAAATATTTCTGCAGTAAACTTAGTTTGTTTTGTTGTAAGCAATACCTTTATTTAAAAATGTTAAGATTTAAATAAATGATACAAATTTTCTAGATTTATTTTGAACTACAAAAAAGTTATCGCTTAAATCAAAGATTATAAAAGATTAAATGGAATTCAATTCAAATTTTTTCTCTAAATATTTTCCTTTTCGCGTGAAAAATGTTTTAAGTTTTATATATCCCTTTTTTAGTTATAATTGGGCACTATTTATTAAAATTGATAAATACTTCTCATCTTTGAGAAACCTCTCATGGCACTGTGTCGAAAGATTTTTTAAAAATCTTTTATTTAAACTTAAAACACAGTAAAGCATAGCGGAAGATCGGCCTGCCTATCAAATCTAGGAGGCTCGTGTCTGTATAGCGGAGGCTCATGGCGTCCGGGGGTTTCCTCCCTCGTCTGGTGTTTACACATGCAAAACAGTCAGATTAAACAGTTTCAGGTCGTCATTAAAGTCTCATTACTTTGTTTGTAACCCTGTAAGCAATAATTATTTTTATTTCAAGATAAAATGCAGTGGTTCGCCTAAAAAAAACATTGAAGATGACTTCTATTTAAGTTTTGTTTTCTGGCACGCATTTATCGAATATACAGTTTGAAAGCTTGCTAAAATCAAAATTCCAAATCGAAAGTCGTCTTCATTGTAATGACATACACGCAAAGAGGTACAGGTTTCCTTCAAAGCTGATTAAAACTCTTCAACTCCCAAGTTTGAATTCAATCTTGCCCCTTGTGGTCTTTATTAATGTTTTGACATAGAAATAAGGAAGTTTTTATAGTCTAACCCCAGAACTTCGGAGGTATCGAAAGAACTTATAAAATGTTGTTTTCTAAAGCTTCTGATAATGGAATGCTTGAGATATTTAGTTTTTCAATTTAATATTTTTAGGAAGCTCTTTATTTATTTTACAATTACTAAGATCTAGGTAGAAATAGTTAAAAAGTTCTGGGTTAATCTGTAGTCAAAGAGAATAGAATATAAAGGGTGTCCCAAAAAACATGGGAATTCAGTGACGAATTCGATATCGTCTTTATGAATAATTCTTTGATTTAGTATAGTGATACCTACTGAGAAAGCTGTAATCTGTAAGAGTTTCGTCTGCTATGTTTACATTTTGTTTGTTTATGTTTTGACTGCAACCGGTTGTACTTAGTAAAACAAGAAAATTACAGTATACAAACAGAGTAAACTTGTCCGTATTCACTGTTCATCTTGCGGAGACATTATAGACACATCTTTACAGTCTTTTATCCTTTTCATTAAATAAACTCTAGCAGACATAATAATATAAGGTCTTTTGAAATTAGGTATTACAATGCTAATTCATAACAAAGACGATATCGAATTCGTCACTGAATTCCCATGTTTTTTGGGACACCCTGTATATTAGAGGGAAATTTAGAGAATCTCTCGGTATGAATTTTTTCAGTCCCTTTCAGCCTGAAAGGTAGTTCAAAGTGTACAAATCATGTAAATGTTCACAAATTATATGCAGTAGAGTACATTAATACAGTATGTTCCCTAGACTATCCATTTCAATTTCGAATTTTTTAAAACTGTTAAATAAACTTTATAATAAATTAGGTGAATAAAAAACATCATTTGATTTATAGTTATAACAGAAAATCATGTCGTTTGTAAAGTAAAAGGCATAGAGTCTATGTGAAATGATCATTGGTCAATTATGAAACCAGCCTTTTTCATAATTTGGTTTTCTTTTAATATTAATTTTAGAATTTCTATAAAATGATATTCCAAGGCCCAAAATATGTGAATTACACCTGCAGGACGGAAATAGTACAACAAAATGGCCGTTTTACATTTTCTTCTAGTAAATTCCACTCTAATATATATTCTTTTCTCTTTGTCTGTAATTTAAGGGATTGGGAATCGTAAATATCTGTAAACTGACAGTATAAATTCCATTCAATCGTCTCTAAAAGTCTTATCCTTTTAAGGATGGACAATAAAAATCATAAAAGTCATTTTTCAACAATTGAAGAAAAACGTAGATACTGGATAAAAAGGAGATAAGTGCCTGTAAACGTTGGGTAAGAATTTTATGAACTAACGAAAAAGAAAGTACATTGTTATGTACAGGGTGTCCCATGAAACATGACAGTGGTGTATAGTTTTAAAATGTCCATAATTTTTGATACCATAGAGCAAAAAAGGTATATTATATAGCAGTCACGATATAATAAAATTGAGTTCAAAGTAAAACATAATTAAGTTGAAGATTTTGTAACGAAATAATTTTTTAAAAAAAATAAGAAAAAAATGTTAAAAATAAAATGGAATATATATCTCGTCTCTGTAAACGCACATTGCATTTAAATGTGCAAGCCAAAAAAATATGTGTCTCAATAAAATGCATATTAATAAGTTAATAAATATTTTATTTAACAAATATAGCACCAATTAATTGTACATATACGAATTATTAAACAAATAGGAAACAAGGCTTTTCTTTTAAATGTCGTCTTAAATCTCGGACTAAGACGGCATATATCATTACAAATTGTCTTAAACGTGTGAAAATATACCGAATTTAAAACATTAAGTGATCTTCGTAAAACTGACAAATTATCAAAGACCGGGGTTTGTTTTTAACTTGCTTCAATTTTCTTTTCAATCAAAGCATATAGAAAAGGTCCTCACAATAGGTTATTAAAGGTATTATTATCTTTAGGTTAATTGAAAGGGAGTGTTCGCGTAATTTCAAGGGACTCTAGATTTTTTGTGCATGAGCAGGATTTTGATTTCCTTTCTTTCTGTTTAAAAATTGACCAATTTCAGTTACGGACTTTCTATGAAAGGAAACAATGAGAAGCTGTCAACTTAAATCGAAAAGTTGTCTTTATTGTATTGATATAAACGCCGACAACTGTAACTGGGAAAAGGCTGAAGATGTACGGAATGAATCTTTTTTCCAAAGTAAATCGAAAATTTCTTCATAGTCATTATCCACTACTTTGATAAAGGTTTAACGGGTACCATATTGGGAATCGAGCATGCACACAACAATGCAAATAAAGGGCCGAACTTAAAATTGCGTAAACTGACCCTTTAGGGGCGGATTTTAAAAAACATTGACTGCGCTGAACAGAAACTTGGATGGAATCCTTTGTGTCTTGTTAACAAACAATGCTAGGCGGCAGACTGGGATTTAATGAAGCACGCAAAACGGTGTTTGAATGTCGTCTTCTAAGACACAGATTGGCCAAGGTCTCTTGCAGCTTCTGATTCATGATACTTTTTCAACTTTAACCTCAAATCTCTGCAACAAAAACACAACATATGGTTAACAAATTAAATATGTAGCATTTAATATAGTAAAACCAGAAAACAATGTAATAAGTAGACGACATTTTTGCAATACTTTTAATATATTTGATGTTGTTACAAAGCAAACAGTTTTACTAAACACTTATTAAATCAATAATTTTGTGAAATGAGTCTGTTTACACTGCACAATTGCTGTCTGCTACTCATTCGCCATTTTAAAGTTATAACTTGATTCTAAAAGTCGTCTTCCTATTTCAGAGTTTTTTGGTGATCACTTATAAAACTTTTTATGTTTTCTCTCAAATTGTCATAACAATTTTTTCAAAGGGCACTTGTCGGCTGTCGCAACATATTTTGCAAGGAATTTGTTAATTACACTTAATAAAAGTGATAATTTAAAACACCTTGACAATGAATGTTTTCATAAAACTAGTTACCTTGGGTACCTATCATAACACTTCTTGCAAACTGGTTTCAAGTCAACCTAAACAAAATAAGAGTATTAAAATTTGATAAAAACTTTTTAGGTAAAAAGAGAAAGAGAGAGAACATAATTTGTTTAGATTCAGGAGAAAATAAGTAATTGAACATCATCTTTGATACAGGGTGTTCCCAATATACATAGGAATTCAGTGACGAATACGATATCGTCTTTTTAAATAATTCTTTGATTTAGTTTAGTGATCCCTAATGAGAAAGCTGTAATCTGTAAGAATTTAGTCTGCTATGCTCTGCACATTTTGTTTGTTTATGTTTTGACTGCATACGGTTGTACTAGACTTCGTAAAACAAGAAAATTGGAGTATACAAACAGAGTAAACTTCCGTCATCACTGCTTATCTTGCGGAGACATTATAGATACATCTTTACAGCCTTTTACCCTTTTCATAAAATAAACTCTAGCAGACATAATTATAGTTTGGGTTTTGAAATTAGGTATTACAATGCTAATTCATAACAAAGACGATATCGAATTCGTCACTGAATTTCCATGTTTTTTTTTGGGACACACTGTAGCTAGATCCACCCCGCTCCCACAAAGGATAAGACTGATTACAGCTGCAGACAATCATCAAAATAAGAAAACAAGCTGTTTGAAATTCGTACCGTCGCCTTTGAAGTCCCATTCCTTGTGGACAATCCTGTATACAAACTATCTTTTACCATACAGTAAGAACCAGAAAACATTTACCTCGTAAAATTTAGTTTTGAGGCTCATCTTCTGATCGCAGGAGCTACAGGCAAAGTGGTTAACACACCAGGCCTTGTTCAAGGCAGTGAACACATCACTCTGAATAACCTAAACACAAACCATGAACACATCACTCTGAATAACCTAAACACAAACCATGAACACATCACGTTGAATAACCTAAACACAATTCATGGACACATCACTCTGAATAACTTAAACACAAAATCAATTAAATGCTCCCCCCGTCCTAGCATTATGGTCTCCAAGGATTAGTAGATTTTTTTATCATTATTATTATTATAATATTTAATATATTTAATATATTTAATATTAAATTGACGTATGAATGTCGCAAATTATTTTAAAGATGATATTCACGTAAAACTTTACCTGGTTACATGTATAGCAAAGATTTACCTGGTTACATGTAAAGCAAAGGTTTACCTAGTTACATGTATAGCAAAGGTTTACCTGGTTACATGTATAGCAAAGGTTTACCTGGTTACATGTATAGCAAAGGTTTACCAGGTTACATGTATAGCAAAGGTTTACCTGGTTACATGTAAAGCAAAGGTTTACCTGGTTACATGTATAGCAAAGGTTTACCTGGTTACATGTAAAGATTTACCTGGTTACATGTAAAGCAAAGGTTTACCTGGTTACATGTATAGCAAAGGTTTACCTGGTTACATGTATAGCAAAGGTTTACCTGGTTACATGTATAGCAAAGGTTTCCGAACAGCTGATGGTAATGAGTCTCACAGTAAGCCAACCCTTTCCTCTCATAATGCCTAATAATAATTTATTTTAATTAAATTTGATTATATAAAATTTGCTCAGTATAACAATGTTAACTTTACAACTCCCTTTCATGTGTATTTTTACTGGTACAGAGATTAGGAAGCATAAATAAAAAAGTGGTGGGGGGAAAGGGGGGGAGGGAACACTACAGTGAAACCCTTAAAAACGAATACATCGAAAGAATTCATCAAATGTCGTATTCTTCACTTTCTGATAATGGAATGATGCAGATATTTAGTTTTTTAATAAAATGATTATATGGAACTCTTTAAAACTGTTCCCGCAAATTCATGGCTATTTATTTATTTTCGCAAATACTGAAATTTACGTAATATAGTATAAAACCCATGGAAAAACTGTCAAGACGACATTTGATAAATTCTTCCGATGTATTCGTTATTAAGGGTTTCACTGTATGTAATTACCAAAAAGTGAAGGTGGGCTTTTATTACTAAATTACACGACTGATTATCGTCCAGCTGAACAAGCATTAAAGGCTCACTTGGAATTTGTTTCACGAAATAAAATGTTTCAAGTATATATGCTGATATATGCTGATATATGTGCATTTTGAGATCAAAAGGGTATTTTGTCTTCCACATTTTGAACGACTTTTTGCCTTTTGAATCCGGAAAGCAAAAATTCAAGGAACTGTAGACGTAATTTAAAGTGAACCTCCATCTAGGGGACATGTTCAACTCACAACGGCACCCTTTAAACCTTGGTTTGTCAATAAGTATGTGTAAACAAGATATACTTTTTTCTTTGAAAAAAAATTCAAATAAAATTTAATAAATTGTTTAGAATCGAACACTTTTTTATAAATAAAAGGAATTATCTTTCTGGTTGTTACTCAGAAAGCGAAACAATCGGAAATGTCCATCTCTTAAATTAGGGAACACTCCAAATTACGTGTACAGTCCCTTTAATCACTTGTTATAAATAAAATTATTCACCTGTTTCCTAGGAAAGGTTTCTCACACTTGGCGCACACAAAGTGTTCCACGTGCCAATGTTTTCCTAAAGCTGTAACTACACGTTCCTCGATAGGTCGTCTTCAAATTAAAAGTATTATATTAATTTTCTTTTAATGAATTAAATAAGGAGTTCTAAGGAGTTTTAATCACTTCTACGTTTGATGTTATTAGAATGCAAATGGGGTTTGAGTACCTCTTTTAGCAGTTTCTGTGTTTCATTTAATTAAACACTTTAAATTAAACAATTAAGCAATAGGCATATTAGTCAATACTCAATACTTTACTTAATCTTATATTTATACTTTTTGTCTGTCTGTTAGTATCCAATAAACGTCAAAACGACTGAACCGCGCGATCGGGCCCAAATTTTTGTGGGACCTCACGTGACCCTAAGGATGATTTATGGATGATCGAATTTTCAAAATATTACCTCAATTATAATTTTGTTTTTGAAAATTTTGAAAATCCACGACATTTTTTTTAAAAAATCTGTTAACTTTTTATTTTATTTTTGTTTTACAATATACACAAAGGAAACATGCTCACAATTGAAATAGAAAATGGGCGCGAAGCGCCCTAAATTATGCTTCTAAATCACACTGCTCAGAAGATGAGTCCGGTCGATCCCGGGAGAAACCATCCACGGATAAAAAAATTTTCAAAATATTTTTTCACAGAAATTTTTTTTATTAAATATAGATAAACTATTTATGTTCTTTCACCATATGTCTATCCTTTCTCAAGCATAAAATTTTTAAATTGTCGGACAACGAGGGAGGGCCAGGGGGAAGATTTTTAGTTAGAACCATTCGTAAATTCAAATTTTAAAGATGAAACGAATTTTACCTGCATGCTCCACAGATAGGGATCCCCATCTTATCATGGCAACGAAGACAATACAGCTCATTCAGCTCATTTGCTGTATATCCTGGCCGGGTTCGGACCTCACGAGCTGAGCTGGTCAACTCACTTCCACACCCTGGATAAATAGATAAATATATATAAATAGATAAATAGATAAATAGATAAATAGATAAATAGATAAATAGATAAAAAGATAAATAGATAAATGTATAGACAAACCCACCAATTTTAGATTTTACAAATATCTACTAAAAATTTCTGATCAAACATTTTAGCAATTTTTTTTAAATTCAAGTTTTGGAAATCCTTTAATGTTGATACGGAACAAACAACATATTAAAACAAACACTTTCTTATATTTAAAATTTGGTATCGATGATGATAGTAAGCGTAGTAGTAAGTTCCAAATTTTCAGAAAATAAACATATTCCATCTAGGTTTACCCCCTTCAATTTTGCTTCTGTCACGAAGATTCAAATACATCTTACAAGGTGGCTGTTTGCACCATTAGATCGAAAATTTTAAGATGATATTATAGCGTTCAAATAAACGAAAATCTATTAAAATCCTGTGAATTGTGATATAATGGACATGAATTAGGATTTTAGCTATTTTCCCTTTACAAGTAAACACACTCAACTTAGAATCTCAAAACCAAACTAAGAACATTCCCTTGGGGGTTCCGATTTCAGGAAAATCTGTCAAGGGGTTCCAGAGTTATGATCGGTCATCCAAACAAACAAAGATTACAACTGTTTATATAAATAATATAGATACCTGTACAGTTGAAATGATAAGGATGATAAACTTCTCCTCTAAACCTAAGTGGTTCCCCGTCCACTACACTGTGACACTTCTGACACATATATTTACCCAGACCATCAGCTTTAACCTTAGCATTGCACTCATGGCACAGTGCTCGGCCCTAAAATAAAATAAATGTAAATAAACCGATTACAAGCACTTTCGCCTCAAATTCTAATTCCAACATCTTTGGAACAGGATAGAATTAGAATTAGAATTTTTCAAGATGAATTTTCAACCTTAGAGAAATCAGAGAAGCTTGATGCCAGTTCAATTTCTTATCATAATTAAGCGCTTATATGAATCAATTTAGTCTTTCCAGATGGTCTAAGTTATCTAATTTTAAAAAGATTTTTTGTTTGTTTGTAATTAACAGAAAACGATCTTCCTGATTGATTGAACTCGTAAACAAATCTGTTTTAACTCGTAAACAATGATGTCAGAGAAACAAAAGTCAAATGAGATTGTGATAATTGTTTGTTGAAAAATTTGCAAAAAGTAGAATTTTTCATGATTCCAATCATCTTATATGTTTTTTCTGAACATATATATATTTGGTCGGTATTGGCAACTTTTGGATTAATGGAAGCCAAAAAAAAACGGATTTAAATCAGTAAATTGATATTTTTATCAGACCAACAAAGCTAAAATGTACGTAGGTCACACGTACATGCACAGATTTAATGCCTAAATATGTAATGTATCTTATATTGGGAAAGCAAAAACGTTGAAAATGCTGTTGTAAATTTACATTTTATTGTAATCTCGCTAAAACTTGAGTAGTTATGCGTTAAATATTTCTATATCCAAGATCTGAAAATTATGCGTTTTGCTTCAGTGAATATTCAGGCTTAGGTTTTTTTTCATAATAAATGATACATGTAAATACATTGGAACATTTCCCTAGTTAATTTTAGATTTACAAGTGAAATAAATACACTTTTCATCTTTTTTCAGAGATTAAACATTTTTTCTTGTTTTTGAGAGCAAAACTATTCCAAGATTTTTTAATTTGTTGACTTTTTTGTAACTAAAAAAATTAAGAAAATTACGATTACTCACTTATACTCTAATTTTCTTATCACTATATTTTTGCAGTACGAGGTTGAAAACCTTTCATACTCGAGTCATGAGTTCTGTAAGATCAATGAGTCCAAGTTTGTGATATCAAAAGTTTACGCCTTCAGGATGCAACGATATATGGGATTGCGTTTATTTACCTGATTTTTGATAAATCCCAGGTCTGCCAGTTCTTTATGACACATCTCACATGTAAAGCAGTTTGCATGCCAAGTGGATTGCATAGCCTAGATGTAAATCAAAAATTTAGTTAAAAATAATAATAATCATTTATAATAAAACTACTTTTTTTACTTTTTCTAACTAATAAATAACTTCGTGCACTACTTGTACAAATAAGATATTTGTACACTCTGTTTAAAAATTGCATTGAAATTAAAATTCCAAATTTCTTTGTTAGACGTCTGACACAGGATGCTGATGACAAAAACTTTTATTTTTAAGAACATCCAAATTTTTCTTAATATTTTCCATATTTTTTTGATTATTATCCAGATTATCATGAATGTTATTCAGATTCTCATAGTATTTTCCAGATTTTCAGATAATTATCCAGATTTTCAGATAATTATCCAGATTTTCATGACGATTATCCAGATTTTCATGACTATTATCCAGATTTTCCTGAATATTATCCAGATATTCGTGAATATTATCCAGATTGTCAAGATTATTATTCAGATTTTATAAAATTCAGATCCCTCAATTTGTGGATATTTATGTGAAAGTGCAGATAAGAATTTATTACTTGTTTACCATAGCTCTATATTTGTAATAAATATCAAAGTGATAAAATAAGACAAACCGCGTGAGTGAAATATAGCACTTTGGTTGTAAAAATAGTCAGCAATGGAAAAGAATTATTATTATTATTATTATTATTATTATTATTATTATTATTATTATTATTATTATTATTATTATTATTATTATTATTATTATTATTATTATTATTACTATTATTGTTATTGTTATTATTATTATTATTATTATTATAATTAATATTATTATCGTTGCTTATCAATTCTATTTTTGTTTTCAATTACTTCTTATTGTGAACATTTGAAACTTTTAAACCTTATATTGGGACAAATTTTATTTATTTATCTTCAATACGGTGACGGACAATGTTTACTTAATCTTAAGTTTCACAAGAACAAAACAAATTTTTAAATTTTTTAACTTCAAAAGAAAATGAAGTTCTAATGACTCTTGGACAAAGGAAGAAAAATAAGACAACTAAATAAATTAAATTATAGAGGATGAAAATCCAGAAAGAAAATTACAAAAGCCGCAAGTGAGTAGTTTCGAATTCTGGAACCAGAAAACGACCTACTCATCTTCCTCGCCTTTAATACACTCGTTAATCATTATGTATTTATATATAGAGACAATAAATGTATTTCTAAAAAATCTTTTAAAAAATGTTATGGAATGTCATATTCGGAAACGTGTAATCATTTTATAATAATGCATGGCTTTTTTGTAGAATGTATGCATTTAAATCCTGTTATAAGTATTGATCGGTCTCTAAAACTACGAAAGGAATTTTAATAAAACATCCAAACACTAAAATATTATTTGTGAACTGAATATGCGAAAACTTAGGAAATTAGCTTCAAAAATGGTTTACATATGAGAATTCTGTGATGTGTGTAGTATGCTCTGAACTCAAGGTCAAACCATTCCAAAATAGATAGATTGATAGATGCAGAGATAGATAGATAGATGCAGAGATTGATAGATAGCTAGATACAGGGTGTCCCACGAAACATGACAGTTGGTCAATAGTTTAAAATGCATTTTTCCATTATTTGTCAAGTTGTTTGATACCAAATATCAATACAAATAATATATAATTTATTTAAATTGATTTCAAAGTAAAATATAATTAAGCAAAAAATTTGTTTAACTAAAAATAACTATGTATTGAATGTCATGTTTTGTGGGACACCTTGTAGATGGATGCAGAGATAGACATATAAATATATAGATAGATAGATAGATAGATAGATGCAGAGATAGTCAGATAGACAGATAGATAAATAGATAGAAAGGATCTGTATATAAACCAAATTCGTGATATATCAACATGTGTTTACAAAACTTTGTAAAATCATCCCTCCCCCACCCCCCCCCCTTCTCATCAACCAAAAACATATATATATATATATATAACCATATAACATACTATATTGATAACCAGAAAACTCTGAAATATGAAAACTTTCAGAAAAAGTTATTACTTTAAAAAGTCCAATGAGTATGAGACATATTAATTGTGCAGTGTAAATAGACCCATTTCACTAAATAATTGATTTAATATGTCTAGTAAAACTATTTGTTTTGAAACAGCATCAAATACATTTAAGTACTGCTATAATCTCGTCTTCTTTTTCCATTGTTTTCTGGTTATCACTTTATCAGATGTAGAAAATTAACCAAAAGGTGATGTTAACATAATTAATAAGAAATCAACGTATATTTGTTTACTATCAAAATGTACGGCTTTGTTTATGTTCATTTCAGAAACTGCAGTACACTAGAACACTTGGTTCCTGGTTAATCTTTATCTTTCTAATACAAAAGTTTATCTTACATTAATCATTCTGTGCACCGTACCGACATAATTTCAATTTTTTTTAGAGTGTCATATCCAATTCACAACTGTACCCTTTAAACCTTAGTTTATAATGACAACATTAATATTTTTAAATTGATTATTTTTCAATGAGGTTTTCTGTAAATGTTTTATGCTGCAGAAACAGATAGAGTTTGTCGGAATTTAACCCTTTACAATAAAAACAAAGACGATAGTATTAGGCCTACAGTCCCTTTAAACATAAAAAAACCAATTACCTTGATAACCCTTCCAATGATGAACTCCCCGCATTTCTGACAGCAGGGCGCGAACAGTACATGAAAATCATGTTCGCAATATTTCCTCCCCTCGAACTCATAGAACACTCCCTCGGGGAAAGGCCGAAAACACTGTGCACAGACGAAGCATCCCGAATGAAACAGTTCTCCGTTCGAATTTACAATCTTTGCTTTCGGTTCGAACCCGTCATCGCAGCGTGCACACGCGACGGTATCCATGTTGGCTGCACTGTGCATTTCACGTCCCAAGGGTGCCATGGAGTTGGACCACTGTGATCTGTCTCCTTAGTTCATCTAGTAGGACGGGTCGGACAGGACTGAGTTACTCAGGTTCCGTGCTGGGCCGAGGGACGGGACGGGACAGTGCTCTGGGTAGGACCTGGAGTCAGGACGGATTGAGCAGGAGTTAAATAACAGGTTCATCTTGCTCCAGCTTGAACAGCTCTACTCGTTCTACCCACATATACATATATCTATCTATCTACCTATCTATCTCGCCTTAAATGTCTATCTATCTATCTATCTTCCTATAAACTTGCTATATAAGAGATATCTGAGTAACTTCTCTTCTGTCTATTTACTCATCTTTCCGTCTATCTATATGTTAATCTATCCATCCATCTACCTATCTATCTTTTTTTCTAAATATCTCGCGATCTCTTCATATAAACTATAAATCTATCTATTTATTAACTTTCAGTAAATAATATCTTTCTATCTATTCTATACATATCTATCATTTATTTAAAATCCATAAACCACAGATCTATCTATCTACCTATATATTTAATACATCTATCTATCTATCAACAAATTTTATATTTATCTATCTATCTATCTTCTTCCACCCACTTACCCACATCATAGTCTTGTAATATGATGACAAGAGTGTAATTTAAAGTAGGGGGGGGGGGGGAGTTAGATATGCCCCCACTACCCCTCATCAAAATCTCAATCGCACGTTATTTTAGAATTAATTTCGTTACAATTTTTTAAATGTTGTCCTGAAATGTAACTTCACTTTTTCATTACTTAGTTTTCATTATTTTTGGGACACTTGTTTGTAAATAGACAAAAACACGATTATCCTCTATACAGCTTGTACTCCCGCCGTTTACCTGCTCTTGGTAGTAAATTATGATTTTAGCTATTTTCCCATTCAACAGTACGTGGACCCAATCAACTTGGAATATCAAAATTAAGAACATTCCAGCTGCAGTGGTTCCGTTAGTAAAATGACGAGACATCCAAACAAACAAACAAGCAGAGATGTTACAACTTTATATATTAGAAGACAAACAGCTAGTGCAGCGCTTTTCATTAATTTTTCCAACCTCAAATTTGAATTAAGATTTTAGAATAGATACACCTTTTTTTATAGAATATAAATATTCTGGGACACACTGTAAAACGATTAGAAGGACTTCTTGCTGGGACCCTGCAAACTGTGAAGACTTATACGGGACACCCTTTTTTATTTTTATATTAAGGACACCCTGCACCCTTTATAAAGGTTTTCTCTACGACACCCTGTCACCTGTTAAAGGTTTTCTCTAGGACACCCTGTCACCTGTTAAAGGTTTTCTCTAGGACACCCTGTAACCTGTTTAAAGGTTTTCTCTAGGACACCTTGTGTCCTGTAGAAAGGTTTTCTCTAGGACACCAGGTACCCTATTTAAAGGTTTTCTCTAGGACACCAGGTACCATGTATAAAGGTTATCTCTGGGACACACTGTACCATGTATAAACGATTCCTCTAGAACACCCTGTACCCTGTATAAAACCTATCTCTGTAACACCCTGTACCATGTATAAAGGTTTTCTCTAGGACACCCTGTACGGGCTGTACCCTGTATAAAGGTTTTCTCTGGGACACCCTAGACCATGTATAAAGGTCCTCTGGGACACCCTGTACCGTGTATTTAGGTCCTCTGGGACACCCTGTACCCTGTATAGTGTAACTAAGAATGATCTCATCACTTTAAACAGCTGGAGCATATTCTTTGATTGGTTTAAACTTATACATAGACTGCATTTTATCATGCACTTCTTTCAGGCCTTAAAGGGATTGTAAGCGAAAATTCACGTGATCTAAGGTTTTACAAATGTATCATGCATGATCTTTTCCTTAGTAAATTTCAAATATTCGTTGTTAATTTTTTGTCTCTTTTTGTATATTCAAAATAGAAGAAATCGAGAAAAAACTGAAATCTAGATAAAGCATCAAAATTTGATCAGAGAGGGTAAATGTTTTTGTGATAGCGCTGAACTGCACTGCTCAGAGAGGGTAAATGTGATAGCGCTGAACTGCACTGCTCAGAGAGGGTAAATGTGATATCGCTGAACTGCACTGCTCAGCAAAGTTTAATCTATTTTCAAGACTTAGTCGCCTTTGAAGTGTCGCAGCACCTTGCATCACAAACTTACTTATACTCCTTTGTAGCCCTGGACATTTACATTTTAAATCTGTTACATCACTTGTTTTTGCTTTAATTTATAGGAAGTATTTTTCAAAACTCTCGTGAGAGCTTGCAACATTTGGAACACACTGATGTGGCAGCTGAACTTAATTCTCACAGATAAACTTATAAATTTAAGGATTTAGGTTCAATTCTGTTGATATACTGTAAATTCACCAAGAAATAATTAAGAAATATAGTAAAAGTCACGCTGATTTAACAGTTTGGTCCTTGTCCTAGAAAACTGTGGTTTTGTTTTACAATACAGTTAAACAACTTTCGTTTTTTGATACTTTTTGTCGCGGATGCCTTTTAAATAAAAAAATTGAAAAATTTGTTGAGATATTTACCAAAACGTGATTAAATTCAAATTAAAGAACCCTAAATTAGCTTGTCCAGATAAGTCCAAGATGTAATGTCCATGGACTAAGTATCATTATTGTTAAAAAAGCATAGATGCTGATGCAAGCTGAAACTCGAGTCAAAAATTGTGTTAATGATATATCTAGATAAATACAATAGCAAAAAAAGGTTGTTATTGCCAATGCTGTATATATGCCTACTTTGCACAGCTAGACGCTAGACATTTATAATTAGTGTAATAGACAATAATCTTGCTTTTGTATTTTTAAGGATATTTTTTTAAGTCCCGAATTTAGAAATAAAAAAATGTTAGATATCTTTTAAAACAGGCAAGAAGAAGAAAAAAAATATTACATAATCTTTAAAAATGTTCCAAGAAAAAATAGTAAAGTTTTCACAAATAAACGATCTAAAGTTAGTTTAAAAAGAATGTAGAATAGGATCATAAAAGTCGAACAAAATTTGACTCAAAAATGATAAAAAAAAAATAAGAAAATGAACTCAAAAAAGATGTTAATTTATTCATCGTCATTCAGTAATTATATTTATATTTATTTATACATACTATAGTTGAAGTACTCGGCGTTGCCCGCGGATTTTTTTTACCTGAAAAAAAAAATAGATTTTTGAAAGTAAAAAAATATAGAACTTTTTTTTACTCTAGGGTTCCCTGAAAAAATTTCAGCCCATTTGGTCCAGCCGTTCGTCCGGCTATATATATATTTATATATATTTGAGAGATAGAGTGTGTGTGTCTGAGAGAGAGAGAGAGAGAGAGAGAGAGAGGGAGAGATGTTTAGAAAGATAGCTAGGACTGACCCGGCCCGTTTTAGGGGAACCTGATGCACACTGCCTTAGTCCTACACTACCCATTCCTAACCTAACACACCTGGGCAGTGAGAACAGGGTACGCCTACACATTCACGGCCCGCCCACTCACAAATATGTTACAGTGATATCAACCTAGAAATAAGGAATGATACTGACGAAAATAAGAATTAAAAAATTGATAAAGTGGGTAAAAAAGAATATTATTTCAGTGTATATGTATATACATATTATATATAGAAGATGTGAATGCATATTTTAGGGCAATCTGTGGCAGGGTTACCTTAGTGTGTAATAATAATAAAACTAAAACAAGAAATACCAGGGTTCGCTTTCCAATGTTAATTTTAGCGAATATATACCCGGTAAAAGAGAAATTATAAATATCGATAACAAAATGTAGCTTTATATGTATTCAATGATAGAATAGATAAAATATGTCTCACAGATCGTTCAAAAAATGAGTCACTGTCTGACTCAAAGGGACTGTAGACGTAATTTCTAGGGACCCTACATTTGTATTTCTCAATCTCATTCACAACAATACCCTTTAAAGCGATGACTGAATATCAACGACGGATATATTCCTTATTTCTGGCTAAAATTGAGTACTGGGTAACAAGGATACTTTTGACAATCTTGATAAGACAAAAGACTATAGGTTACCGTTGTGAATCGGACATGCCAATTCTTCCTTGAAATAACGTGTACAGGCCTTTAACTACTAATTATAGTAGTGGTTGTGCTTAATATTATTTAGAAAGAATTTGACTAAAAATTGAAATTAAGCCAGTATAATCCAATCTGCTGTTTGTTTACTGTTTATATCTACATCCAGGGGAAAACTAGTTTTTGGGATTGGGATAAATATATTTCTCAACAAAAAATGTCCTTGTTTTTTTCTATAGAGTTTTATATATTTTAATTTAATCATCTTTTTAATGGTTTATTGTAATTAAAAATAATTAATATCATGCCAACAGGGTTTACCAAAAAAATATGAGATTTTAATGACGACCTTAAACCATAATCTTAATATTAAAAGAGCAATATTTTTACCAATAAGAGTAAACCCTTTAATCAATTAAATCAATTATAAAAATGTTTAAAAATATAAAAATCTACTTTGCTGCGCGTGAAAGGTTAAAATCATGTCTTGAAACAGATACACAAAAACTGTTTAAAATTAAACAAATGAAGATTTTTATTGTTATACAGGGTGTCCCACGAAACATGACAGTTGGTAAATTGTTTTGAAAGTCTTCTTCCATATGCTGTATTATATACTAAAGACTTTTTGCATTTAATTTAGTTAAAAAAAAACTTTACTCATATTTACTTAGAAACCAACTTGACTATAATATGAATGCCATAAATATCTAATATTATTCTCCTTGGCAACCAACAACTTGACATATTATGTAAGAAGACATTTTAAACTATTCACCAACTGTCATGTTTCTTGGGACACCCTGTAGTATCTTAAACATCATACATTGTTTGTACTGATGTGATGAGAAGACTTAAGCATCTTTAACTAACGTTAAACACGCTTTTACATAAAAATCGAGTAGTATTTTGTCAATTACTCCGTTCAAGCTGAAAACAATCGAGTTGCATTTTTAGAATACATATGTCTAGGGTTTAAAAATTCAAGTGAATTGGTAAGTTAAAAACAAAGGTCAAGGCAATGCGACACTTTAAAGTCAAGATTGTCTAAAAATTTGATGACTAAGCATCATTAAGCATAGTTAA